TAACTTGTATATTTTTTACTTAATGAAGTGGGAGAAAAGTCAGGCGAATGGAATAGGATCCAAAAAGGGCATAATTTTAACAACATGAACTGCTGCCTTGAGGAGGAGGTAATTTTTTCAACTCAGTTTACCATCCTCCACCCCAATTTCTTTGGCATCTTGCAACTATATGGTCATTCTCCAGTATTTCTTGAAAATGAGCTTTGAAAAAAACCCAATTTAAATAAGGCTAAGACTAGGATTTCCAAGTTGTTCACCACAACTGCCACCTCCACCTCCAGCTTCCTCCTGTCCTCAGGAGATACTTGTAAGAATAAAATAAACAAACCTAATATTGTTCTAACCAGTGTCCTAGATGTTGTTCCAGTGCACTCGATAGAACTTAGCAGCTGGCTTTATTTTCATGACTTGTTTTACCCAGAGCCTATGAATTCCTAGGAGCAAAAACTACATTCTGTTCATTTTTTGTCATCTCAGGGCTGTAGCATATATCAAGGGATCAATATTTGTGAATAGAATTGAAATGATCTAGTAATTGTGGTTCATGAATACAGAGGGGGAGTCAAGAAGTGATATTGAGTGCACAGGATGGACTCAGCATTCCTGACTCTTCAGGTAAGTAGAAACTCAAGATTACCATCCTCTTTTCTTACTTTCACCCCAACTTGGAGGTTCTATGATTTTGTACCTTAAGCTGATGGTACAGTTGTCAAGCATGCAGGTTCCGGCATTCCTGGTATTGCTAGAGCCCTGTTATTTCTGTGTACTGGGGGAAGATGGGTCAGAGATGGATTCTGGCACAGGGCCTACTGGGAAATTTTCAGTGGCAGCTAGTGTGTACATAAATGGGCCTAGCATTCCTTTGGAGGCCCAGTGTTGTGACTTTCAAATTCCAAAGCTAACCTGTGTCTACCACCTGTCAGATTTCCTTGGAAGCAATCCAGCCATACTGAACTCCTTTTCAACAGCAAGAGTTGATTAGGTTGATCAAACTTGAGCAAATTGGAACATGTAAGAGATTTTCCCAGTTGAAATAAAACTTAAATCTATAACCCTTAGTGAAGCAGAAATAAAGTATTTAGCAGAGTAAGTGGGAGGATGATCATTATAACACATTTTGCCATAAATTCAGTTTTAGAAATGATTGATATTCAAAAGGTTTCAGAATTTGGCTCTTGGTTGCTACTCAAGAGAAAGGTACTGAGCTCCCAGTATCCTGATTTTTCAGGTCCTGGAGGTCAGGGTTTTGAGTCATGGCTTGTCCTAACACCCCTGGACATTCCTCTTTAGTATTGGTTGAGCAGTCTTCCCTTTGCCCTGTCAATTGGCAACATATACTGTAGCACATTCTTGTCTGGGAATTACCTTGGAGCAAATGGAGGCTGGGTATTTGTTGAGAATTTTTTGACTTAACAAACCCCAGAATCTCATGGCAGTTAGGGTGGCTAAAAGAAAGGGTTATACTGCAAAGAGAAGACTTTAAAGTTCTGAGCCTGGGCCATCCCTAGACTGCTGTCTACTGCTTAAATGGAAAGTAGCATTGAATTGTAGCAAATAGATTTCCCTATTTGATTCTAGCTTTCAAGCCAATTTATTCCTCTGACTACAGGCTTAGGAAACCTGGCAAGCTTAGATGTTGCAGAGTGTGACAGAAGCAATCCTTTAAACTGGAAAAGTGGACTTCCTGGGGTACATTTGAAAGTTCTCCACTTAAGAGCTACAGCTGCCTTCCCCAGGGTATCATATCAGAGTTTTTGGATCACTGTGGTTTACCCTACAGGAACACACTGTCCCTTTGTTCTAGACTGCAGGACCTTCAGCACTATCCTCTTGGCAAAGTCTTATTTGGACAGTGAAGTCTTGTAGGACCTTTCTAGGGAGCCCTCCATTTGTTTTCCCCACCTTCTGAAGGCAAGGAGCTTCCCTCTTAAAAGAGACAGTGGGAGTTCCCAGCCATGTTTTTGGAAAAGACCAATGGCTTGTTAAGGGAAGTGATCTGAAAAGGAGGAACTTGGATACTTTGAAGTATATGAATAGGTGTTTTGTATAGTCTGTTATTTAATTGCATCCTCACAGCATTCATGTGAAGTAGTTTATCTGTTACTTTCAATTGCACATAACAAGCCATCAATTAAATTGGCTTAAATAAGAAACCTGTAACATGACAATTCTTGATTTAATATGGCTCCAAGGTTTGTTAATGCAGTGATTAAAGTGATAATACCAACAAAGCAGGTTCTTCCAGTGACTTTCCTTTGCTATTCTGTGTTGGTTTATCCTCATGTTAGTTTGCCTTAGGGTCCCAAGGTGGCTACTGTAATTCCAGGAAGGAAATGCTGACAGAATAATGTGTAACAGAAAAGGTACTAATTTTTCCTTACATTTCATTGTAAAGTAAGGAAATCCTTGGAAGTCCCAGCAGATCTGGCCTCCTGTCCTACTAGAAATGGGTCATCTTCTCACTCCTGTCATTGGCAAAGCAAATGAGATCATCCATCATGAGTGGCTTAGAATAATTAGGAGTTACCCTCTGAGCAGTTATCCTGCTTCATCAGTCTGGATTAGAAAGAAAAGTCTGGTCTGTGATTAGGGCTCCTGGGTAGGTATCCAGCAGTGTCTTCTCTACTTGGGCATTCTGACTTTTAGAGATGTAGGTTTAGAGTGCCTTTTGGAATCACATAGAATAGCGGAGGGCCTTCAGTCTCAGCTCTGTCCCTATGGCCAGTATGTTTTATATTGTGTTCTGCTGCAATACAAAATAACTTTCTGCTATGTAAAAACTCCTGATGGTCTGAGAGAAGAGATTTGAATTCGAGTCAAATTGAGTAACTTCAGCCCACATAAAAGAGAGGATTCTATCCAGTTGCTGTCATCATCCAGTGGTGGTGTTTCTCTAGCTCAGGAAGCCTTGGAATGCAACTTTCAGAGGGCACTGATTTCCTTGTCCCTCAGATGTCTGTGCTATTTTATAGTTCTCCCTTCTGAAAGCAACCAGTGCCACAAAGGATGAGGGCAGAGTTTTAGCCTGCTTCCTGAGCCCCATTCTTGACAGCCCACTTACTCATCCATCCATCCCACAAATCAGGGAATGTTGCAATGTCCCAGGCACTGGCACTGTTCTAGGCATTGGGGCTATGACAAGATAGACAAAGACCATGTTCTATGGCCTTAAGAACCAACTTGTTTGGGAATGAGGTTATCCAAAAATAGGGTGTGCATGTGGTTGGGGGAGAGCCTCATACAATTTGCTTTAGATAGAATCATTGGACCTCTTGCCTTCCTTCTTTTTGATATTCTACAATTAACGTACCTTTCACATGGGCTCACTCTAAAGAGGTGGTGGGGTCCCTGAATAGCAGAGGTGGGAAGGCATGGTTGATACTAAATCATACTGAATTAGGAGATCAAAATCCTGCTTAATCAAGGTCAACAGAGAAGACCAGGGCCTACCTCAAGGGTTCATCGCCCTAACAATGACTATTCTGGGAGAGGACAAGCCAGCAATCACTTAGGGAATCAGTTCCAGAATGGGAGTTTGAGGGTGTGATAGATGCTTGTACAAGAGTTGATGTTTTACCCTGTTGGGATGCTGCTACTGACTTGGATTCTGTATATTTAGGTATTGAAAATAACTTTTAGGATAGCGTTTCATCTGGTGACATTTGATATTTTGAAATTGATGTTCTTAAAGGGTTAATGTTGGGAAGAAGTGAGGCAAAATTGAAATCAGACAGATGACAGTTTGAATCCCATCCATTTATGAAATGTTTACTGTAAGGTGCATCTAATAAGTGTTTTAAAATGTTAATGATAGTAAACTTTATTCACTAACATTTAGTTACAGAGGGTTCTGGTTTATGTACATTCCCTAACATCACAACAGTTATGTAAGATGTTAGTCTCTCCCATTTTTCAGATAAGAGGCTCAAGTGACTGATCCAAAGCCCCACAATGACTGGGGGAACTGAGGATAGGATACATTTTCTTTTTATCCCAAACTTTAAAAAATGAAATACTTTTTTAAAAGTCTGAATAACGTTACTGATATTTAGGGACTTAGGCAAAAATCATGAATCTTCAGTCTGAAATGAAAAATTAAAGCAACATATTAAGGACCTGCTATTTCCTAGTGAGTGTGCTGGCCATGGTAAGCTTATAAAACTTACAAGCTAGAGCAGGAGTGGGCACCCAAACTTGTAAGTAAAACAAATTACAGATGGGGAGGATTATTAGGGGAATGCTATAACAGAAAAACGGGCCTCCACCGTAGATGAGTGGTCCGGAAAAGACCTCTCAGATAAATCAGGCTGAGATACAGAAAGAAGTGGACAGGGGAGGGAAGAAGAGAGGGTGAGAATGGAGAGAAAGGAGAGGTTCTGTTCCTGGCCAAGAGAACCAAGAGCAGAGGGGCGCCAAGTCGGAAAGGGATGCGTTTTGCCGATAGTGGGAATTAGAAGCAGATTAATATAGCTGTAGTATAGTGATAGGGAAAGTCTTGCTTGAGAAAGGAAGGGTCCGTTTACTCGGTGCGTTTTGGCCCCGCAAAGAGTTTGATCTCCGTGTGACAAGACGCTATTAAAGCGTTTTAAACAAGGAAATTATCCGATGTGAAGTTTGTGTAATGTCTCGTTTCTTTCTTTTTTTTTTTTTTTTTTTTAATTATTTTGTTTGCGAGAGAGAGATCACAAGGAGGGGGAGAGGGAGTGGGATGCAGGCTCCCTGCTTAGCAGAGAGCCCGATGTGGGGCTCGATTTCGGAACCCTGAGATCGTGACCTGAGCCAAAGGCAGAGGCTTAACCCACTGAACCACCAGGCGCGTCTAATGTCTCGTTTCTTAATACTCTTTTCCCAAGCTAAATTGTACAACCCTCCCACCCGCCCACGGTTGTCAAAGCAACAGACTTGGAGTGATCAATTGCGGTGGTCACTTGACCGCTTACTGAGGAGGCGGTGCGAGGTGCCGCCCAACCTGGGCGGGGCGGGAGGGCTCCGTAAGGAGGGTGGCTCTTCCCCAGACGTGCTCGGCCCCGTCACTCCGCTGCGGGTCCCGGCCTTGCACCACGGACCGGCCACGCTCCACGCACGCTCCTCCCCAGGTAAGCTGCACCGCCCTCTGCGACGTCGCCTCCGGCAGGCACCGCCCCACACTAGGATGGTGTTGAGTCCAGCTCCGAGTTGTCGCCCGCAGGCACGGCCCTGCGGCAGACGGTGGGAGTGCCCGCCCACCGCGCGTGTCCCAAGCTCCGCCCAGGCTCCGCTCCCCGGCACCTCCCCCGCGTCTTCCGCGCCGGCCGCGCCCGCACCGACGTCGCGCCCGCTGGGCTTGGGGCGGAGGAGCGGAGAGGCGAGGCTGGGACGTCGGGCGAGCCCGGGCAGCGGAACTGACGCCAGCGGGCTTCCGGGGGCGGCCCCCGGGGAGGTCGGCGGCAGCGCCGCAGTCGTGGAGGGGCAGTGGGAGCGTAAGCGGCCGCGGGCGACGCTAAGTTCCGCACGGGGCTCTCTCTTTCTCGTCTCACGCTTCCCCTTCCTCTCGCATAGTCGCGTGCTCCCTCCCCACGGCGGCTCTTCCCGACGAGATCTTTCGGAGTGCGGTTGCTGAAGAGAAGCCATCGCCACCTCGTCTTGGGGCCGAGTGAGGGTGCCTGTCGCGCCGCGTCGCCCCCTGCGCTGCCTCCTTGCCCCCAGAGGTGGGCGCTCTTCTCGTACGAAGCACTCCCCCCAGCTCCATGAATGGAAATCGGCTCCGCAGGTGAGCAAGTCCGAGGTGCTTGGCCCAGAGGGCGGGGGGTGGGGGTGCCCCAGAGCATCGTCTCTCCCTCCGCCCCAACCCAGGTGCGCGAGGTGAGCACGGTCCGGGCGGCTCCTCCTCCCGCCCCCCGCCCGTCCCTCCTCCGCCTCCCCGCAGCCCCGCCGCAGTTCCCCGGGGCCACTGAGTAGGCAAAACTGTGGGAAGGGGACAATGCTTAAGGGATTGAAGTTTGGGGTTCTCCAGAAGATATTACTCTATTTTCTCGAGTCTAGAAGGGTTTGTCGTCTGTTTTGTTATTCCGATCGAAGGTGTAACGGTGTGCGCGTCCTTTAACCGGGTTGTGTGTCCCAAGGAGGCACTGGGCGGTCGGCTCTCTTACCTCTTAAGGTAGTTGTGAAGCGACATGAAGATAACGGTGAGAATTAAGTTTGAGATAGGTGTAAGCGCAACGTCAAATGCAAGATGGCATTTCCTCCATCTCCGAGTTCTCTTCTGATGTTTGCGGCAGTATGGTATATAGTTGCCGAGGATTTCGGAAATGTCATATCGGTCCGAATTACTGCTTACGTGAGGAGATCGATCTTAAGATTGCTGACAATATTTTTTTTTTTTCATTCCCTATCCCCTAGAGAAGCGGTTATTATAGTCTTGGAAATTGGGGATTTTAAAAAAACTGCTTTCTCCTTCGGAAAACGGCAGTCTTGAGAAAAATTGCAACATGGGCAGTGCTTAACTTGAAAAAGAATTACCATTCTTTATGATTCTGAAGTAATTGATTGAGAGACATAAAGTAGGTGTTACATAATGGCTTGTTTTCCAAAGGGTCATACTTAATATGTTAAGTTTGATGGTGTGTGCTTCATCCAGATGGTAACACGTTTATAAGTTAATTTTCAAAACATTGGGGGTGGGGGGTGGCTTGTTACTGATGGGATCACAAATTCCTGAATTTCACATCTATTTTTGCCAGTTTGGGAGGTACTTGAATATAAGAAAAACTTAAGTAATAAAGGAATCCAGTGACCTAATGATAATAAAGGATCTGTTGATTAGGTTAAGAAGTATAATTGTCGATTGCCTCAGTGGCTCAGTCGTTAAGCATCTGACTTTGGCTCAGGTCATGATCCCAGGGTCCTGGGAACAAGACCCGCATCAGGCACCCTGCTCAGCCGGGAGTCTGCTTCTCCCTCTCCCACTCTCCCTGCTAGTGTTCCCTCTCTCCTTGTGTCTCTCTGTCAAATAAATGAAATTTTAAAAAATTTAAAAAGTATAATTGTCTGGAAATGCTGACCGCACAAATTTGTAGAGGTAGGATGGGGAGAGGTGATTATTGCAAGTTTTATTATGTGAAATTTTCTCTGATCCTTTTTCCTGATTCTCTTTTGTATGCTTCATTTTTTTTATCTTCATGTTTTTAAAAAATCTATAGATTGTGAAGAGTATTAGGCTTTCATTTATCATTGATTTATATATTTCTGAAACTGCCCTGCCTTTGTTTTTTAATTTTGTATCATACTGTTTAGAATATGATGGTCTAGGGCTATAGATGACTTTTATATAACTGTCCTGGTGTCAAGCCTGCAAAACAAAACATGAAAGTTAAAAAATTTATTAATCACCCTGAGTTTTAAAGATAGTTTTGAGGGTTTTCAAGTTTTTTTAGTGTTTTTCTCTTTTGGGTTTTTCATATGAAATTATGCCCCAGTGTGTGGACAACGTCTTAGAAAATATTTCTGAAGTCCAGTCACCTAGCCCACTGGTCCAACTACCCAAGTACGATTCAGTAAATGCTCCTGTGAATTCTTGAGCTATAGATAAGTTTTACATCTTGTTTTTGCATATGCCATTGCTGAAATATATGCCCATTTAATTATTTTCATATCTGGGGAGGTAGAATGAGATAATATCAACCATATGCTTAGATATCTTGAAATTCAAAGTTTGCGCTTCAGTGTAGTTTATACATGATTAACTGTAATGTAATAATGAAGATAAAGTATAATATGGCTCAAAATTGTTACCATCAAAAACAAAATCTTCATTCTTCCTGAGGCTTACATACAATTGTTACGCTGCATATGAAATTGAAAGCATAGTTGGGCAAAACATGCAACTGAGTTTTAAATGAAGAATTTGACAGGTACCAGGGCACCTGCTTGGCTCAGTTGGAGAGTGAGACTCTTGCTTTCAGGGTTTTGAGTTCAAGCCCCACACTGGATGTGGAGATTACTTAAAAATGAAACTAAAAAGGGAATTTGACAGGTACATACTTTGGTTTAAAATATTTTAGACATGGGTGCACCTTGATGGCTCAGTCCATAGAGCCCAGGACACTTGATCTCATTTGTGAGTTTGAGCCCCACCTTGGGTGTGAAGATTACCTATAAACATTTTTTTAGACATAAGTGTTCTCTGATAGTTTGTTGAGTCAGTGTTGGATCTTTGCACCAATTTTGTTCTAAGGTGTGTGTGTGTGTGTGTGTGTGTGTGTAGATTCTTAGGTATTACCTTATGAAAGGATATTTTAAATTTTAGTTGTTAGGAAGATACATAGAAAACTTTATTTATATTGGAGGACTTGGAGTTAGAATACAAATACCATATAATTGTTTCTTGGTGAATCATTCCTCACTAAAAGTTATTATGTCTTTTTTTGCATGTAATATTTTAAGTTATTTTTTAAGGTATCTTGTACATTGTACTGATTTAGAACTTTGTGAACTTTGATTTAACCAGAGAAGCTGGCACAGTTGTTTTTTTGTTGTTTGTTTTTTTAAGATTTTATTTATTTATTTGACAGAGACACAGCGAGAGAGGGAACACAAACAGGGAAGTGGGAGAGGGAAAAGCAGACTCCATGCCGAGCAGGGAGCCCAAAGTGGGACTTGAACCCAGGACCCTGGGATCTTGACTGGAGCCAAAGGCAGACACTTAATCAACTGAGCCACCCAGGTGCCCCAGTTAGGGGAACTTCTGATGAAACCCTATTTTTTTAATAGTTTAGTTTTAATTCTAAATAAGTGTGAATAGAAGCAGCAGAAATGTTCATCGAGATATCAGTTCTCCTGAGTAGTAGTGTTTTAGAACCTTACTACTCTAGTCTGTATTTTTAGGTGAAGTCAGACTATTGTTGAGGGCAGAAGAAATTGTAATCACCTACCAATGGAAGAAAAACATTTACTGTTACTTTAAATTAATGATATGCAAAGTGATTTGATATGTTTGGTAGTTATATAGTTTTGCAGGAGTGAATAGACCATGTTTCTTAGTGATACTTTTTTTTTTTTTTTTTTAAGATTTTACTTACTTATTTTACAGAGAGAGATCACAAGTAGGCACAGAGGCAGGCCAGAGAGAGAGGGGGAAGCAGGCTTCCTGCTGAGCAGAGAGCCCAATGTGGGGCTCCATCCTAGGACCCTGAGATCATGACCTGAGCCAAAGGCAGAGGATTAACCCACTGAGCCACCCGGGTTCCCTCTTAGTGATACTTTTAAGTTCATGTTTGGATCTGCAAAGTGATTTTAAGGCTCTGCATTTCTCTAATAATAAAATCTAAGGTCGCCTGGGTGACTCAGTCCAAGTGTCTAAGTCTTGCTCTCAGCTCAGGTGTTAGTCTCAGGGTCATGAGTTCAAGCCCCACTTTGGGCACCTCACATGGAACTTACTTAAAAAAATATAATAATAATAATAAATAATCTGGAAAAATCATTTGATAATAAGTTCCAAAGAACAAAAGTTATATGTATGGAAACTAAGTTTGACTATGAGTAAAAGTTGTGGATTCAAAATACTAAAATATATAATGCCATTAGGGTCTCAGTTTAGTATTTAAAGTAATCATTTTGGGGTGCCTGAGTGGCTCAGTGTTTAAGCGTCTGCCTTTGGCTCAGGTCATGATCCCAGAGTCCTGGGATCAAGCCCCACTTGGGGTTCCCTGCTTGGCGGGAGGCCTGATTCCTCCTCTCCCACTCCCCCTGCTTGTGTTCCCTCTCTTGCTGTGTCTCTATCAAATAAATAAATAAAAACTTTAAAAAAAAATAATCTTTTAAATCACTTTGGGATATATTTTCTCTCTTTTAGATTTTTGTCTTGAAGAAAAATTGTCAAAATGCTGCTCTGTCTGGAGGGCATGAATTTTGAACATGCAAAAGGTTTTTCTGCTTGGTTGCCACTTAAATTTTAGCTTGTACTGTTCTTAAGTGGCCATCATTACTTTTTCTCTACTATTTGCTGCTCTTGATTGGCAGTGGGTCTTAAAAATATGCAAAATTATTTTGATTTTTGTTTTAGAATTGGATTAAATTTTTTTTTTCTCCTGAGGGAAAATTGAAAAGGAGGCAAGAAACAACTTTGTTGTTCTAAACAAAGACTTAAAGGAGAAAAAGAATATGTAGGTAACTCTCAAATGTAATTTGTTTAACATGATGGAAACTTTTAAACTTTATCCATGATTCCATTACCCTGATCACTCTTTAAATTTCTAAGCCAGATTTCAAACAAATATCTATTTAAAAAAAAAAAAATTAAGGAATTAAGTAATTTAGGAAAGCTGCTAGAATAAATGAAATTATTTCAAGATCTGTTCCCTTTTGCTCTTTTGGAAAATTTTATGTACTAAGTTATGAATTTAGATTTAGTTTATATTCATTTATGTTTTCCAGTGGGAACACTGTGTTTGGTTCTTTCTATAAGCGAGGCCTGATAGCATGCAAAGAGGCCTGGGGCCCTGTAAAGGGGACATTTCCTGGAAGAGTTCTCTGTTGTATATGGAAAAACTTTAGTTTAGAATTCTTGCTGTCATAAACTATTGCATTCTAGTTGAAGACTGCTTTTTTCATTTTATAGCCATCTTTTTTCACACAGGTTCTTATAGTCTTCAAATATCTGAGGGTCTATCTGAAAGATGAAGTAAATATTTTGTTAATCTAACAAAACACTTTCTCTAATAATACTTAAAATTGGGATCTAAAATAATTTATAAGGGGTTTTTTTTTGATAGA